ACACCTGACGGAGGCCCCGCCCCCTGGAAGCACAGGTGCACGCGGGCGTCGACGCTCAGGTGTTGAGGGCTGGCTAGCTCCCTTAGGGCTCCGGAGCCAGGCAGGCGCCCCCCTGTCCTCCGACTCTTTCTGGTGGCGGGGGCGGGGGTAGGAATGGGAGAGCCGGGCTCTCGGGAGAGCACTCACTGCCCCAGGGAACGGCACCTTCCGATCTAACCGGGTTTCCAGAGCTACCCCCCTCCAGCCCTCGCCCCGCGCAGGTTCCCGCGCCACTGGGCTCTAGACGCTTCCACCGGGAAACATCTCTCTCCCCCTATTCCTTCTCCCCCTCCTCCTCCCTTTCTCTACACCCACCTCCTCCCCATTTGCGTTTGGAGGCAGGTACAGGGAGAAGTAAAAGCTTGTGTTGCTTAAAGGAATCGCGGTGCTGCTAAAACTGCTGACTCCCGCGTGGGAGCCGAGGGGAGTGATTTGTTTTATGGGCCCTTCGCTGTCTCATGGGAGGGGGGTGCCAACAGCAGCTCCGGTCTAGAGGGGAAATACTGTGTCTAGTGGGTGACTGATATTTCTCATTTCGTGTTGTGCCGGCTGTTGGAGAAGGGTGTCTGCTTTGCTACTTCACAAGATTCAATTTATTTGCTTTTGTTCAGATCTGCATGTTCCTGCTGCGTTTTAGAGCGTTTAAGAACAGTGTCTTTAAAGCAAAAGGCTAGGCGTGAAATAAGAAAGTAAAAAATTAAGGGAAGGTCGTCCTGACCAAGGGAGGCACACTGGGCATCCTCAATTGTTGGTGGCCACCTGGGAAGAGAGAGTGAGGACCAAACAAAAGACTCTCCAGGGGCCTGGATGGGAAGGATGGAAATAACCAGGCTCCTTGTCCTTTGTTGTTTTGTTTTGTTTTGTTTTGGAGAGAAGAGGAGAGGAGAAGAGAGGAGAGAGGAGAGGAGGAGAAGTGGGGAGGAGCCCTGTGGCCTAGTAGTAATATAAAGCTGGCCTGGGCCATCTCACCCAAGGCAGCTTCTAAGCCCATTTCCTTTCAAAGGATTTTCCCATCCACCGACCCCTGAGTCCTGAAGCATGCACAGACCTCACAAGTACACCTTTCACTTGAGACCTAGTCTGCATAATCCCATCCTAATATTTGCTCACCATTCAGTTCAGTTCAGCCAGTATTCTAGATCTATTAAGAACTAGGTCTAGGCTAGGTGTTGTCCGGACAATTCTATGGCTTGGCCTCTCCCACAAGGACAAAGGACGAAAAGTGTGTGTATGCCCCTAATACATACAGAGCATAAGGTGTGTAGCAGGTATACAGATGATGTGCACCCAGCCAGTGTGGCTCAGTGGTTGAAGGTGGACCTGTGAACCAGGAGGTCACAGTTCAATTCAATGCCTGGGCTTCGAGCTCAATCCCCAGTAGGGGTTGTGCAGGAGGCAGCTGATCAATGATTCTCATCATTGATGTTTCTATCTGCCTCCCCCTTTCTCTAAAGTCAATAAAAATATTTTTTTAACTTATAAAAGAATGCTATGCAAGCATCAAAAAGTCATTATAATTGGAGGAACAGAAACATTTCACAGAAGAGAGAACATTTTTACTGATTCTTAAAAACCAAAGGGGCCAGAATCGGTTTGGCTCAGTGGATAGAGCGTCGGCCTGCGGACTCAAGGGTCCCAGGTTCGACTCCGGTCAAGGGCATGTACCTTGGTTGCGGGCACATCCCCAGTAGGGAGTGTGCAGGAGGCAGCTGATCAATGTTTCTGGCTCTCTATCCCTCTCCCTTCCTCTCGGTAAAAAATCGATAAAAAAACATATTTTAAAAAAAAAACCAAAGGGGAGGGGAAGGGAGGGGATGAATAGATGGAGATCAGGGCAATTTGGGGGCAGTAAAGTTATTCTGTATGATACTGTAGTAGTGGATATAGAACATTATGCATTTGTCAAAACCCATAGAAGTGTACAGCACAAAGAATGAATCTTCATGTAAACTATGGACATTAGCTAATAATAATGCATCAATATTGGTTCATCAGTTATAACAATGTACCACACTAATGCAAGGTGTTCATAAGGGAAACTTGTGGGAGAGTACATGGGGAACTTTGTACTTTCTGTGACATTTTTCTGTAGACCCAAAACTGCTCTAAAAAATAGTCTTTTAAAAACAGATGACTGACTTTGTAGGGCATAAATGGGATGTGAGGCGCAGGCCATTTGGGCTCGGGGAGGAAGGCTGGGGTGGCCACCAAAAGCCAGTGGGAGAAAGGCTTGCTGGCTTGCGAAGGAGACCAGCTCTCTCTGCTCTGCACTGGGAGCCTGTGTGTAAGCTGAGAAATGACGTGATTAAATTTTGATTTGGGTCCCCAGGTTTTACACTTTAGATCTTAACGAGTTTATAGAATTAGAATAGTTAATATTTTCTACCCCAGCTTCTGAGTCTCATCTTTACAGTGTCTCCAGGAAGCTTTTTTTGAGGACCTTGATTCAGCACAGCTCTGAATGCTTTGGCCCATTAGGTAATTTAAATATTTATATTCTGATAATAATGTGAATTACTGAATAAATAAATAATAGCTAATATTTTTTAAAGACTTCCTATGTGCCAGGCACTAATATAGGTACTTTATGTGTATTAACTCATAAGTTTCATAACTCAGCTATGAGACAGATAATATCAATACCTTCATTTCGCAGATAACAAAACCAAGACAGCAAGGAGTGAAGTAACTTGCCCAAAACTGCACACAATTATTTAGTGGCTGACACAATAAGACATGAGGAAAGGCTGGAAAAAAAAAGATTTTAGCTCTAAATCAGCCACATGCGATAAGACCCAATTATGTCACTAACACATTATTGTAGAGGTTTAATCCTCATGCCTTGACATATAAAACACGCCTATTTAAAGGCACCGCTGAGCTGGCATTCTAGACATGATTACCTGCATGTATTTAATTTCAAAGAACCTTGCTGATACCCTAGTTCAGAGCCTCACCACCTCACATCTCTGGATCATTAACTAGATGCCCCATCTGCATTCTTCCTCCCACAACTAACCACCATGCTCAAAAAACACCATGTCACTTCCCTAACCAAAAAAATAGGCTGGTTTCTCCTTCCTTCCATGTCCAATCTAAGCTCCTCTAACTAGCTTTCAGCCTCATCATTTCGCACCATTCACCTTCACTGTGGTCAGCAGCCTCCTCATTAGGCCATGAACATGCTGTGCTCATTTCGGACTCTCTGCCCTGCTTTGTGTTTGTTCGCTGACCTGAAATCCTGCCTTGCTGACCCCTAACTAAACCTTCCCTATTAAGTCCCTTACAAGTCTCTGCCTCCTCTGAGAAGCCAACTCTGATTTCTCCAACCACTGAAAACACACAGGTGCTCCTCCGTCCCCATCTCTCCCTCCTCAAAGGCCTACAGCACCTCGTTATTCCTTGGATTACATACCTCCTTGTGTCTTGTTTGATTGCTTCTTGGCTGTAAATCCTGTCTCCCCAACCATAGTGCAGGTTCTTAAGCAAAGATCACCTCCTTGGCCCCTCCCTCCACTGCCAAGTGTCCTGCTTGCAGCAGACACACTAAATACTCTGATCAGTCTGCATAGGATCATAAAAGCCCACAGATATCACTAGAAATTGTTAGCTAATATTTACAAAAATCCCATAAACTTTATGGCAGGACGCTTGGCCCTTAAATGATAAAAAATATAAACAGAGGGGAAATTTTGGTCCTTTGCACTCCAGGAATTCTAATTAAGGAAGACAAATAAATAGATCCTGAAGGCCATATGCAGAAAATACCCATCAACAAACTGTGAAGTTGGGTCTCTCCATCCTCAGGCCCTTGTGCTCAGAGGATGTCCCTGACCCACCAACCACCAGGCAGGTGGATAAAGGGGGTGGGAACATGTGCTCCAGGTAGAAGAATGTCAGGCACAAAAGCCCAGAGCATGTGCAGAAATCAATAACAAGGTGGTTAGGCTGGGACCTGGGGGTCCTTCAGAGACAGTAGTAAAAGGTGAGGCTGCAAAGGCAGGATGGAGTGGGATCGTGGAAAGTCCCCAATATCTCGCTCACCATTCTGGGTGTTGTTTTATAAGCCAGTGGTTCTGAAGCTTTTGATCTCAGGAACCTTACACTCTTAAAAATTATGGTAGACTCCAAAATGCTTTTGCTTGCTATGTAAGTTATATCAACTGATCTTTACCACATTCAAAGTTCAGACTGGGAACAATTAAAAATCACTTACAATTCACTTTAAAATAGTAATAAGCCCATTACATGTTAACATAATTTTTGTAAGAAAAGTAAC